GCGGGGACTAGATCCTGAGTGCTCGTCACACTGCAGCCCGGGACCACCAGGTCCTCCAGATGTGAGGCAGTGTGAGGCAAGACAGCAGAAGCCTGTCCCCAAGATTTAAGTCACTCGTACACACACCTCACCTGCAGCTAGGACATCTCTGAATCAGAAGTCCTACCACAAAAAGGCCGGAAAGAGACTGGTTTGACTGGGGAGAATTCTATGACTCATTTGGGGATTTGTGGGGAGGAGATGAAGCTAGTGGGTGGGGTTAAGCAGTTTACCCTTTGTTAATCATGATGCTAGGGCCAAGTCTCTGCGTGCTTGCTTTAGCAGCAGGGTGGCTAAATAAATTCTTCTGGGCCTGTGGTGAAGAGCTAGCTAGAACTCAACTCAAGACGGGAATGCTAGGCTTGGCTCTGAGTCCGACAGCATATTTTATAGGTTTCTGTGTCCCTCTGAAATGAAATCAATGAAAGGGGTGGAGGGAGGTGAGGGGAACTCTGATGTTCTTTCCTCCTGCAGACTCTCTGAACAGGTACAGGTCTTTCTGGAAACCGGAACGATCAAAGCTTTCAGAGCAGCATCCGTAACTGTTTCCAATTGGCCTCTTTTGGGGGAAGATAAGAAGGGGCATCCCTACTCTTGTCAGACGGCTGCACTCAATAGGGGACCATTACCCAAGGCAAGTAGCAGGGCAGTGCTCCTGGTCCTGGACAAGCGACAATTGACAAAGGCTCTGACGTTGCTGTGCGTTCTGGTCTTGTAGGAATGCTAACAAGTACACTTGCCACACACGGGTGATTACCGTGATGGTCACTGGTTATCTTTGATGAGTACGGTTCCTGCCAGAGCCTTCCTTTCACTTTTCTTCATGATTTTATCATCTATGAGGTCACTTGGAGGCCTCTCTAAGGACAGCGCTTCTATTCATAACCCCATGTCAATGAAGAATAAGCTCTGAAAAAACAGTTTTGAATCAAGCTCACATTTCCCAGAAAATAACCCCAGTGTGATTGCAACAGGCCTGGCATTGTGGACTGGGTGGCCCTCGAAACCTGCGGCAGCAGGGTGAGCTGAGCACACGGGGGCCTGCACCTGGATGGATGGCAAGGACCATACGTGGAGCTTTAGGCCTTGGTACACCTCTCGGCTTCTCCCTGACTAGAGTGACCCTTCCTGGTGGCATTTCTGGACTTTCCCTGGACCTGCAGAGTAAGGGGCAAGCTGATTTCATGAGCGGGTCCAATCTGTGGCTTTAAATCTGGAATCTGCCACATACCAGCTGTGTGACCGTGGGCAAGGCATTCTACCTCAGTTTTCTCATCTGTAAAATGGGTATCCCGAAAAGCACATGCCTCACACACCCGCTGGTAGGCACACATGAGCTGCTGCATGGAGAATGCACCCTAAAGCTCCTGACCTGCTGCTAGAGCCCGGCAAGGCCCCTCTTTCAAGCTCCTGACAACCCCACACTCAAAAGGTGCCTTGCTATGCTGATCCCAAAGCTGGGCTGACGTCAGCTTTGAGGACGGAGTTGCGAAGTCCATACCTTTGCCGGCATTTCGAGGAGGCAGTGGAGGAGCCTCTGCAGTTGGCGACGTGGGTGAATCTGTGCTTGTGGAAGTGAAGATCTGGTTGGTGAAGGCGCTGTAAGAGAGCCGCTGCTTGTCCCGGGGGGTGCCGAAGCCTGGCAGGGCCAACTTGTCCTGCGGGGAGATGCTGGAGGAGTGGCAGAAACTCTGCGGCCTCGGGGAGCGCTCCTTCTTGATTGGGCTTGGCTGGCAGAGGAAACGACAGGGTTAGAGAGCAAGCAGGGGCCAGAGGTCAGAGCGGGCCCAGAGCAAGGGAAGAGGCTCCACACACCCATTGTTTCTTTGTCTTTGGACAGGGCCACACAGTGAGACACTGACACCGGGGCCAGCAGTATCCACAAGTAACAAACACATCTTATTCATGGACATCCCTGGCTGTGTCCGCCTATGTGTAACACATGGCGTGGTCCTCGATCCCGGCTCACCCTGTGATGGCATGGTTGCAGTCCTAACTCTTGTTTCATGGGACATCCTTCTAGAAAGTAAACTCATCCACACCCGTGGCTTCATGCTCCAGCTGTCAACGTGCTGATGAGAACTTTACAGGACTGTAAATCCAACCCCAACTTCACAGATCCCAAAATGAAGATGCCTATGAAGCAGCTCTGGGAGACAACGTTCCCAGCGACACCATCTTCCAAGGACCTCTGGATCATTCTCACCTCCTCCGTCACCCGGCCCCTCACACCACCTTCCTCCTTCAGGCTCTCGCCATGGCATCCAAAGGAGCTCCATTCTCCAGCCACCAGCCAGAGCTGGTAGGAAACTGTGCTCTCCTGACAATCAGCCTCTGTTGGGTTCTTCGTGCTCATGGGGTAAAGGATGCACTGCCTCCTTCCCAGCCTTACCCCGAACTGGCCTTCTAACCCTTCCTCACAGGTCCCAGGCTGTGGCACGTACTCTCCCCCGCCCCCTTCCACCTCCCCGTTTCTTTGCCTGACAAGCTCCCACCTAACCTTAGAAACCCATTTCAGGCATTACTTCCTTGGCAAGGTCTTCCCTGCTCTGTCATTCTCCCCAGAGAAACACCTACAGATCCACCATGTTATGACTCATCTCCACTTCAAGAGGTGAGCGCCTTCAAGACACGATGCCGCCATGAGCACCGCGTACACCTGCCTGGCACAGAGGAAATGCCCAAGCACATCCACTGAATGCATGCACAGAGGAGCCTCTAGAGGCTAAGAAACAGCTGGAGAGTCAGATAGCACTGGGTTTAATCCCCATGTTTGCCTCTGAGCTCACATACATCAAGTGCCAACACTGCCTACTACCCACCTAAGTCGCCAGCCAGTGACAAGGGGCCCAGAGTCTGGGTGGTAATAAGACCAAGCAGCCCTGGTAAGGTGGTTGTTGTTACTGCAGGTAAGTGCCGAGTCACCTTGGACTCACAGTGAGCCTGGATAAGGGTTCTGACTCTACATCTCTGCAGGAGCAGAAAACGTCATCTTGCTTCCATGGAGTAGCTGGTGGGCTTGAACCGCCGACCCTTTGGTTCACAGTCCAGTGTATATTGTACGAGCAGGCCTCTTTTCCCTCCCGTGCAGGAGAGCGGGGATGTGCTCAGGAACACAGGCTCACTCACACTTACTTTGTCATCCAGGTCATCATCGCTCTCATCCATCTCCTCCTGCCCGAGATTCCACTCGTATTCCACGTGGACGTGGGGGTTGAACTTTCCACATTTAGCCTGGGAGAGCTGAAGTCACAGGAGGAGAACATGGTTCGCACTCAAATAGTGAACTACCCCAACATGATACAGACACTGAGCCAAGCCCACAGCACCTCCTGGCTTCAAAGTCCTCATCGGTCACTGCAGTGGTCACCTACAGACAGGCTGACGAGGATGTGTGAAGGGTTACATGCAGAGTCTATTTTAGGTTTACAGCTTGACTTGTCCCCAAAAGCACAAGCTGCCCACCATGAGGCTGGACCATAAAACTGGAAATTCCCGGCCGGAAGATAAAAGCAGAGACGCGTGAGGTGTAAGAGGTGGACCCTCAGACTCAGCCCATCCTAGTTCACTGACTGGTCCACCTTCCTTATTCGTAAAATAGGGGCAGTGACAGTCACCTCAAAGTATGCTTGTCAGAATAAACAAGAAAAGCTGCCCGGCCCGGCCCCTGGCACTCAGCAGAGACCCGAGGGAATGCCATCTTGCCTTCCTCTCTCCCCCATCCCGGGGTTCAGACCATCATGCTCAGGGATGCCCAGGACTACAAGCAGAACTACCAGCTGTGTAGGTAGCTGGTGAGTCAGTCCCAGCTCAAGGCCACCTCACCAGACTCACAAAAGAACTGCTCTTTCTAGGGTTTTGATGACTGTGACATTCCAGAAACAATCGTCAAACCTTTCTTTCAAGGTGCCTCTGGGTGGTATGAAGCACCAACCTGTCTGCTAGGAGTCACATGCTTAACTGTTTGCAGCACCAGGGACGCCCATCTCCTCGGGTCAGAAAAAGGTGAGTGTGCGCAGAAGCTGAAGGAGCCAGGAGCAGGTACACTTAGCCCTCTGAGTACCAGGACCCTCTGGAGAAGACCGGCACAGGTTCTGAAACTGGCTTCCCAAATAAGTCCTCACTGTTAACAGGCTACAGAACAAGGCGAGTGATCTGCCCATAAAAAGCAGGCCGTCAACCACAAGCCCATCTGGTAAGCATGCCTCTAAAAATGCAGACGTGTGCACGGCTACTTCAGTCATCAGCTCTCAAATGCAGTCCTAGCACTTTTCTGAACTGCTTTATAGCTAGTGTTCAAAACAGAGAAACAAGTCTGTCTGCAATTGCAGCCTCTCTCAATGGTACGCTAAAGGCCGGTGATGCCCAGTGACCCTCCCCCCTACCCTCCACTCCCAGTTTTCTCACCAGATCTTCACACTGAGTGGCCTTTACTCGCTTGGCTATGTCCAGGGCAGTTTCTCCAGCCTGGTTGACTGAAATGGGAAAGAAACATTTATGTAAGTCAGTGACTGAAAAGGCAAGGAATGACCATCTAATTGTAGTAAGGTACCCAGGCCTCGGTGTTACCTGCCCAAACAGTTATTAGGAGACACTTGGCTGCACTCTTACCAATGTCCACGGTGGGCTTGCTCCTGAGAAGCAGCTTCAGACACTCGGGTTTTCCATACATACTACAGTAATGCAGAACTGTGTTTCCTAGGGCAGTTTGTTTATCCAGGTTTCCACTGAAACATTCCAACAGAAAACAAATAAATTACGCTATAAACTACAGTTTAATTATTTCTGTACTGCTAAGTAAGTCAATGGAGTCCTGGTGTGGTGCTGTGGGTTAATGCGCCAGACTGCAAAGCCGTCTGAACTGCAAGGTTGCTAGTTCAAGCTCACCAGCAGCTCCTTGGAAACCCTATACACAGGGTTGCTATGGGTCAGAACTGACTTGACAGCACTTAGCGACAATAATAAGTAAGTCAAGGAGTCTGGTGTGGTGCTGTGGGTTATTGCGCTGGACTGCACAGTCATTTGAGCTGCAAGGTCAGCAGTTCAAGCTCACCAGCTGCTCCTCAGAAACCCTATACAGGATCACTATGGGTCAGAACCGACAAGATGGCACTCAACAACCACAAGTAAGTCAAATTTGAGAACTATTCATTATAAATATTATGCTTCTAATATCATGTTTACATTGACCAACAATACAATGATAATACCAAAAACCCAAATTCACTACCAGCAAGTCGATTCCGCTCACAGTGACCTGACAGGACAGAGGAGAACTGCCCCACTGCGTCTTTAGTCTTGACGGGAGCTTTCTCCTAGCAGTCTAGTACTTAACCACTATGTGAATCTGTTGTTGTTATGTGCGGGTTTCACAGTGCCACACCAGGACTCCAGTATGCAAACACAGCACCTTAAATGCTAACAACCCCCAACCCTAACCCACTCTCACTGAGTGGATTCCCACTTACAGTGACTCTGTAGTTCAGAGTGGTTTCTGAGACTGCGAATACTTAGGAAGCAGCCTCATCTTTCTCCTGAAGAGCAACTGCTGGGTTCAAACTTGGGAGCTTGTGGTCACCCACTGTACCATCAGGGCGTGAGCATTAATTGAGTGCTTATTTACTACTGGGCACCGGTTCTTAGCTTTGACTGTATCAGCTCATTTTATCTTTACAATCCCCCCTACATCTATGCTCTGCTTGCCAGGTGCTAAGTTCTGAATAAAAAAAGATACCAAATTCCAGTGATGGAGACCATGGAAGACATTAACGTAGTCATTCCTCAACTTCCTGATATTCTTCCTGGACTACTGTTGTTGGGTTGGGTGCTGTCCAGTCAGTTCTGACACATACTGACCCTGTACAGGGTTTACAGGGAGGGGATGGTGACCTTGAACCGGCAACCTTGCAGTCCAGTGCATTAACCCGCAGCGCCATACCAGGACTACAGTCACCCCGAAATTTTGAATCACCTCACAAGGCAAGCAGTCAGAGTTTTACATTTCTGGTATTTTTCTATATGATTTTTAACAGACTTTTTTTTTTTTTTTTAATTTGTTGGCACAATTTCCCCACAAGTTTTTCTTTTTTAAAGTTTTTATTGTGAATTGAGTGAAAGTTTACAGTTTTAACAGACTTTTAAGTTTTAGAGCAGTTCTAGGTTTATAGAAAAACTGCACAGAAAACAGAGTTTCCACGTGCCCCTTGTCCCCACACCTGGTTTCTCTCGTGCTGTTAACATGATGCATCCCTAGGGCCCACTGGTCACAACTGATGAACCAATATTAAAGCCCACAGCTTACATTAGGGTTCATTCTTTGTGTTGCATAGCGCTATAGACTTTTTTTTTTTTTTACATCTGTTTTGTTGCTGAGAATATACACAAAACATACACTAATTGAACACATTTTTATATGGCCTATTTTTTGACCTTGATTACATTCTTTCAGCTGAGCAACCATTCCTGCCTTCTTTACTGAGTTGTTTCTCTTCCACTAACACAAACTCACTGCCCCCAAGTTCCTATGGCATCTTTCCAGTTGCTGTTGTTAACAGGAATCCATTTAGATAGTTCTAAAAGAATACAATGCTCAAGGCAGACTTTTTTCTTTTTAAATAGTTAAACTGTTGTTTTATTTTAAAGAAGACTTCAAAGAGGGTATTTTTGGTTTTAGCTTTAAAGATGATCTTAGGGCAATATTTCCAGGGATTCATCTGACCTTCATGGCGACAGGATGTCTAGAGTCTGTGAGAATTCGAAACTCTGTTCTACATATCTCCCCTTTTGATCGGAATTCTTTAATGACATCTTTGATCAAAATGTTCAAGTATTAGCTGGGCATCATCCAGTTCTTCTGATCTCATGGAAAAGAAGACAATCCGACATTCTCTATTCCCTCTTCCTATTCCTGGTTCTCCTTCCTCTGTTGGTCCAGGTGAATGTGCCTTGGATGGTCCTTGCAAACTTTTAAGACCCCAGGCAATATGCAATGAATTTGGGAGGTAGAACTGAAGCATTACACATGTGATCTGGCCAGTTAATTGGGATGTCTCATGAAACTGTGATCCTAAACCTCCAATCCAAGGAACCAAATTCCACCAAGTGTTTGGTTCTACATAAGCAGCTACATTTTTATATATTTTTTATTTTTTGGAGGGGTCATTGTTGTAAATTTATATCACACAACTTCTGCCAATTCAGCTTTTACAAGTGCACAACTTACTGACAACAATTACAATACTTGGGTGTGAAACCCTTTTCTTAATCTATGTGAATTTTCCATCACCGTTAACTTTCCTCCCCACCCCCACACCTAGTATCACTAATAAACATTGCTCTCCACACATTTGCCTTTTTTGTGTTTTTATAGAAGTCAGGTCATAAATGTTTGTCCTTTTATGATTGACTTATTTCACTCAGCATAATGTCTTCCAGCTCCATTCACATTTTTCCTACAGGCTGAGCAGTATTCCATTGTATGGTGGTAGTGATGGGGGTATGCTGGGGAGTAGGTTCCCACTCACAATAGGGTTTCCAAGGCTGTAAATCTTTACAGGAGCAGACAGCCTCATCTTTCTCCCACAGAACCACTGGGAGTCCTGAACTGCTGACCTTAAGACTGGCAGGCCGACTTGTAATGGCTATGCTACCAGAGCTCCTTATTCCATTGTACACAGTCTGCTTATCCACTCATTGGCAGACAGGCACTCTGGATGCTTCTACGTTTCCACAAAAACAGATACTGTACAAGTCTCTGTTTGAGTCTCTGCTTCTATGTCTCTTGGGTATAAACCCAGAATTAGAATTGTAGGTCATATGGTAGTTCTTAGCCCTATGTGTGTTGACAAATGCATATTGCCATGTGTCTGCCATTACAACACCCTGAAGAATAGTTTCCCACCCTTTTTAATCTCTTGTGCTTTACCTACCTGGTCCTTCCTGTCCCTATTTGTATACTTTCTGGGGATTTTTACCATGTTAACTTGACATTTTACCTTTCTTTGTTAAGCTGTAATCCTTCCTATGCTATTCTTTGCCTTACCAACCAAACCATTGTTACCATTTCTGAGTTGAGTACCTGTCTTCACTACCACCTTAATTATCATCATGTATTCGTACAACAGCTTTATTAGACATCTTAAAGCATTTTCTTCAAGATTTAAAAATATTTATACGCAAACACACACACACACACAAACACACACACACACACGGGGCTTCAAAAATTTTTGGAAAAAGACTATTATATTTCAAATTAGTTTTTCCAAGAACTTTTTCAAGTTCCCACATAATATATATATGGCCTCAATTCATTGAGTTTAGCCTAGCTTGTATTAACATATAATAGGGGATACCTGGTATGGTGCTGTAGGTTCAGCACTGGACTGTGAACCACAAGGTCTGTAGTTCAAACCCACCAGTTGCTTTAACATACGGGCTTCAAAAAGCTGGTAGATAAACAGAATCAAAAGATTGGATTTTTTTTCCCACAAGCTTTTTGAAGCTCCCTTGTAGATATAAATGGTTTCACATCCTGAAAATCTCCAGGTGCATGCTTGACAATGTCCCGTAGACTTGAAAAGCTTCATTGCAGAGAAAATGCACAGTATTTTCTTTTCTGAGAGTTGGTATGAATACAGACCAAACATATACATAGGAAATTAGCTAATGTTCCAAAATGTTAACAAGGGTTGCCTCTAGGTGGTAGAGGAAAAAAAAAAAAATCTGATTCTTTTAACATTTCTCTCTACTTTGCAGATTGTCTACAAACTTAGATAATAAAGAAAAATGAACTATGCAAAAATCTAGTTACTAGTTTTGTAAGCATTTTATCAAAGCACTCTTAAATTACAGGATTAAAATATTTAATATATAATTCTTAAAGTCTTGACAATACTTTTTGCAGAAACTCAGATATTCTTGATAGACAATCTCAGCGATACCCTTTCTAATTTCCTTCTCAAAGGCAGTAAGGAGACTCTTCTCAGCAGTTCCCAGCACAAGCCAGTTTTGGTTTTCCTAGTGTTGGGTTAAGCTGGTTTTCTCCAACTTTTACCCACTGTTCACTCTGCTAGCCCTGTCCTGTCCTGATTTATAGGTTAAGTGCAGGACACATGACGGAGGAAACGAGATCCATACCAGTTCTGCACGAGGAAGTCAACCAAATGGAGAGATGTCTGGTCTGCAGTTCGGACGGCAAGATGAAGGGCGGTCTCTCCTAGTTCCTAAAAAGGAGAGGGTGAGTAGAAATAGGGTGAGCAGATGGCCTTGTTTGTCTGAACAGCTTGGTTCACATAAAAAACAAAACGGAACAGAAAAACAACAAACATAAAACAAACAAGGTCCAAACTCAGTGCTGATGAATAGATTCCAAGTGACTCCAGAGGACAGAGTCGAACCACCCGAGTTAACCAGGCTGGTGAGTTTGAAGCAGTGGCCTTTCGTGGTTGGCAGCCGGGTTCTGGGAGCACGGTACCACCATGGTTCCTGCTGCTTACTTACATCAGGTGCCCCTGAGCCGTTACTCACAGCACCCTCCACCTCAGCTGTCCTGAGGTAGACATGGTCACCCCGTGTACAAGGGTCTCATTAGAGGTGTGCACAGTCCCATGGGTCATTTCTGCATGGGGCTTTTCCCAAGACATCTGTCCTCTGGTCTCAGGAGCGCTTACCTGTCCGGGTTCCAGCAACGGCTCCATGAGCTCCACGCCCTCGGCATAGACTTGAATCAATGCCAGTAAATCCCTGGATTTGATGGCCTCAAGCAGGTCATTCAGTTTAGCTGAAGAGGACGAGCAGGTCTTCCTTGAGAACCTGTGATCGACATACTTCGCGGTGATGAATTCTTTCCGCGCAGTCCTGGAAATGAACAGGACAAAGGTAGTGAAGAGCTCTGATTTTCAAGAACAAAGAGGTTTATGCTTTTATATTTTCTTTGAAAAGAGTTCATTTCAATCAAGAAACCCCTCTTTTTTCCACTTTCACACCAATGGGGGTTCGGACCTACGACAGAGACAGACTGGAGTTGCTGACGCCAGGCTATTGACACAAGCAGGTAATATACCGCTAAAACGATTCATGGACACACAGACCCCAGCAGGTCCCTTCCCATGTGGAACAGGGAGATGGAGAAATGGACTAATGATGGTGGGTCCCACTCATACGTGTAAAGACATGACAAAATGAACACATTTTAAAGTAGGAAGACGACAATAAGACCACTTTAGTCCCAGAACTTCTTGGAAAGGTTGTGAGTCACCTGATGTAACTGTTTCCAGGCGAGGAGACTGAGGCTCTGGAGAACTGTCATTCAAGCATCAACATCACAGAGCTAAGGGGGTATAGAGCAGCGGTCGCTCAGGCATTGTCTGTCTGGGAACAGGGACCACCATGGACCAAGTGCTCAAAATTTGAGAGTGGGGTGGGGTGGTTAGCACTCCCCCTTTCCTTAGAGCAATCAACCTTTGTCCGCTTTTCAGGTGGTTCTGGTGGAACTGGGCCCATCTCCCAGCCGTAAGGGTAAGCATAGGATCTAATGGGCTCAATGGGTGACCATTGTCAGCTTTGGAGAAAAGCTGAAATGAAAGTGGGTTCCAAGGAAAGTAGAGATATTAGTCATTGTGGGAGAGGAGGTCCTGGAGAGCCCAACATCCTGAATCCAGCTGTACTTGAACTCACCCCTTGAAATTCTTAGTTTTGGGAGCCAATAAACAAAGCAAACAGACTTTGGCTTCAGATCCTACTTCTACAGCATGTCATCTGTGGGACCTTGGACAGGCCACTTCATTTAATGAGCCTCAGTTTTTCCATCTGAAAAAGGGGCTAACACCTCAGTGCCTATTTTGACCTAAAGAATGTTCAGCACCTGGCTAGCTCCCCTCCTTCCAAGAAGGCTTGAACTCTAGGGACATACAATGTCTTGCTTGGAAACAGCTACTCCATCTGTTTTCCACATCTCATGGCCAGGCAACACTGTTCAAGACTGTAGGTGCATTTCTCTTTCTCTTGGGGTTGGCAGTAGAAAGGTGGAGCTGATGGTAGGTGGCACATAGCCTTGTTCTCTTTTCAACCGACTAGCTGGGTACAGTGATGGCTGATTCTGCCAAGCTCTCAAGATCTTACTCTCATGGTCTTTCTTTACACTCATGCTGAAGTCCTGTCTTGGATGACCACGGCCACCTGAACTGGAAGATGTTTCCAACAGCTGAGTGAGTGGCCTAAGGCTGGCTTCTGGATCCCTGGCTCTTTGTAACTTACTGCTTAAGTCTGAGAGGCAGCTACTCTGGATGGTGGAGTCCCAGCCTTCACAAGGAAATGATTGACTCAAGTCTGTTACCACTTGCTATTCTGTGTGACCCTGACAAACCAAGTGCTTCTGTTTCCTCATCTGATTTACTTCCTTCCAGGGAACAGAGGTGTTCTGGTATGGCACTGTAGGGTAAATACTAGACTGTTCACCACAAGGTCAGCAGTTCAAACTCACTAGCTGCTCCTTGGAAACCCTTTATAACAACAACAACAACAAGAGGGAAGCAAAAGTGCAGGTGTGGGGTTTGAGTTCACTGAGCGCTTCCTTTCTCGTGTTACCCAAGCTAGGACTGCTGGGAAGTTGCAGTGAGGCCACCTGAGGTGATGTCTTTACATACAGCAAACTGGCATCTACTTCACAGCTTCCCTCCTTCCCAAACCTGCTCAGGGCACTTGACTTAGAATGAGTTTCTTTCCTTCGGGAATTCTCCCGAAGCATTTAGCATTTGTTGTTGTTGTTGTTAGGTGCCATTGAGTCGGTACCGACCCATAGCGACCTTATGCACAGCAGAATGAAACACTGCCTGATCCTGGGCCAACCTCACTGCTGTTGCCACGCTTGATCCCACTGGCATTGCCACTAGGCCAATCCATCTTGTTGGGGATATTCCTCTTTTTCTCTGACCTTCCACCTTATCAAACATGATATCCTTCTCCAGCGACTGGTCCCTACCGACAATAATTTAGCATTTAGCAAAATACAAATTCAGTAAAAATTTATCGGATAGGTTAATAAACCCATGTGCCTCAAACATTAAAATAATATAAAGACGTTTTCATTGAGAACTCCATGGCCACCCACGGACCAGAAGGAACCTATTTGTCAGGTTCCTATGTACGGTTCCATGTTTCTTCTGAAAACACAACTTCATTTAAAACTAGCTGTTGACATAGTCTGGGCAGCCAAATCTATCTGGTGTCTGAGTTCAAACAGTAAGTGGTAAGAGTTCAACAGTGAGGAATGATCCGCCCACGAGCCAAAACCTGGAGCCTGAGTTTGGAGTGTGAATCTGGAGGCAGCGACACCATTCCTCCAAGGCAGTCTACTTTCTACTTTTAAAGCAAGTTTTGAACCTTGCTTTAAAACAAACTAAGAAAACGAAACAAAAACTTAACAGTATATCCTGTACATCTTCTGAAACCAGAATTCAGGAAGCGTCTTTACTCTGTTTTACACCTGTATAGTGACCCGCTGTGTGCTCTCACCTCCGAACATACAGCCAGATGCCTACACAGATGAGCATTAGCTTTGTTTCTCGTTCTTTCTGATGACAATATAGGAATAAATTCTGCAATGTGGGACTGCTATGTCAAAGGGTAAATAAATCTCTAATTTTGATCAATGTGGCTACTTTGCCCTGCACAGAGTGTACCCATTCAGTCTTCTCACCAGCATATGAGAATGTCTGTTTGTCTACATTCTTGCTCAGTGTGTTGTTAAGCACTTGGCTATTGGCCAGTGTGGTAGGAATCCCCATTGCCTTTGTGTGTATCTGTTTATGAACACACACCATGACCAGAAGTCACTGTCCTCTCGCATCCACAGAGCCTCCTGGGGGGAGAGACAATGCAAGTCTCCGTGGGACCAGAAGTAGACTTCAAAGTCCTTGTCTTTGCTCTGCTTTTTCTACATCATGGGTTTCTGCTGGGAAACAATAGTACAACCACTAGGAACTTTTTAAAAGATGGTAGGAAAACAGTGATGGAATGGGAGAGAGGTAGCATATTAGAGGTACTTACATATCACTTGAAGGGGTGGGTTTTGGTGAAGGGCTGGATAAGTTGGCTTCCATAATATCATTAAAACTATTATTTCCTACATTCTTGGCCAGCTGTAACATCAAACACAAGACCGTCAATGTGTTACAATGTATTTACAGGTTTCTAAATTATCTGCTTTTGAGATTTTAAAGATAGTATTTTCTCTCACTTAACTCAGACTACAAACCATCCATCCACTTGATCAACACGTATTTACTGAGCATCTACTATGCTGGGCATGGCACCTGAGTGCCAGGAAACCAGGACAGACACAGACAAACCACCCGCGTCTCACCGTCCAAGATCAGAGGGAGCATGTTCCATGTGTGAACCAGGTTAGGAACTGCATTAATGGTAAAAGCGTTTCAAACTACCTTCATGCCATACTCATGCCAGGGGACAGAGTGGAATGTAAGACATAATCTCCATTATGTCTAAGGTACATATATATATAAAGATGCTACAGCAATTTATGGAGGAGGCCTCAGTAAACATTTTGCTTCAGGGTACAAATGACCCTTTCAAGAAAGTTTTCCAGGGTTATTTGGTCATTTGGATAACCTTGGGGAAAAAATGGCAAAGTTTGGAGAACAATCAACCAACCAGGTCTTTGGGAAAAGAAAAATCTTGGGGTGACTGTACATTGAGAGTTCAGGATTTAGACTCTCCCTACTTCTAGTCATCAATTTCAAGGATACAAGTGATAGTATTTGTAGAGTGACCCCATTTCCACATGGAGGAGTGTGTGCTGCTGCAGGTAACGGGTCTGAGCTGCACCTGCAGCGTCCTGACATGTGAACGAGGACACGGAGTAGCAGCAGTTTCCGACCGCCTCAATCAAGTGTCTCGTCCAATACGACGTAGAGCACCTGTGCCTAGCAGATGCACAGATGACACAGGCTGCTGCTGGCCGAGCTGCTGGTACTTTTCTTCACACAAGGGGACAAATGAACTAGTTTCCGGATCATCTGAGGAGCTCGCTTTCAATTCAGGAACATCTACCCTGTGCACTTGGTCAAAATGATAAAAGCCAGGGTTTGGGACCTCAGATACCGGGACAAGGGAGCGCTCCTTTCTTAAACGTGGTGTATGTTGTTGTTGTTCAGTGCCCTAGAGACTTTCCGATTCGGGGACCCTGTACAGGGTTTCCGATGATTTAAATCTTTGCAGCAGCAGAAAGCCTCATCCTTCTCCCTTGTATTTGGTTGGTATAAGGTGGTGGTGTGCTGTCTAATGGGTTCCGATTCATAGCGACCCAGTATAGGGTTTCTGAGGCTGTAAATCTCTACAGGAGCAGAAAGTCTCATCTTTCTCCCATGGAGCGACTGGTAGATTCAAACTACTCACCTTGTAGTTAGCAGCTCAGCTCATGGGTAACAATTAAACTTGGACTTTAGGGGGCTCCCACATTTGGCTAAATTAAGTTTAAGCATTTGTAACTCTTTTCTATATGATACTGCTAAGCACCATAACACACACCTTGCCCTTGTTCTCTAAAGACGTTAAAGGTTAAGGAGTGAGTGGTTTCAGGACAAAGTCACCGGACAGTGCTAGCAGTTAGCATATTTGGCGACTTATTGAGAGGCTGGAGGTTTAGGTCTATCCAGAAGCACTTTAGAAGAAGGCCTGGCAGCGGACTTGCAACACACCTTATGGAGCACAGTTCTACTATGAGCTACGTGGGATCACCATTAGTTAGAGTCAGCAAGGCAGCAACTGGTTACTGACTGGGTTTATGCTGACAGCTAAGAGGCCACTTAACAATTCCTGTGCACATCTATAAACATGGAGGTGGTAGAGGGCAGCTGAGGAAAACTCTTCAATCCTTCTTTTTAATAATCTAAGCCACTAGGTAAAGTGGATAAGCAAGTCCAGCACCTAGCCCCCTTTTACTATTGTTACAGTGATATGTGCTGTAGGATAAGGTCAGCAGTTCTAATCCCCCAGCTACTCCTTGGCAACCCTATATAGGGTTGCTATGAGTTGTAACTAACTAGAGAACACTTAACAACAAGGGAAAACTTAGTTTTGGAGACGCTCACATCAGAAGAAGAGACAGCTGAGCTGAGTCCGGTTTCTGACTTACTAAGACATGAACTCTGCATCGTTTCTTCGAATATGAAAATGCAAAGCAATACCACTGCACGACCACAGAAAGTACATTTGAAGTATCTGTGCAAAGTAACTAAATTCAGAAACTGGGATTATTTGCACTTAGCAGAAACAAAGAAAAGTAATATAGTAAATATTTTCATGTCAATAAACAATCCCCACTACAAATTATGTGTAAGTAAGTACTTACCAAGAGTTCAGAAGTTCCTAATTTGTCTAGTTCCAAAGACTGAATGCGAGAAATATGAACTCCCATTTCCCTATGGATGCCGGAACATTCTATACAGGTCAAAATCCCCAAGTTGGTTGAAAGCCAGGTAGGTTCTGTGGAAAGAATTTTGGAGACAATGAAGTCAACAGGATAACTAGTTTTACTGTGCCAACTATAGAAAACTTGTTAACAGCAGTCAGACTTGTTAAGTATTATGAAGTGAAGATTTAAAAGGAAGAAATGGCTGCTTGTATTTAGTATGAGGGGCAGGTATGAAAATTAAGTGTTTGATAGGAAGCAAAATCTCTGGCAAGATAAAATTTAAAAAAATGTTTCTTTAATATTAAAATGAAAAACAAAACAAAAAACCAAGGCCTTTATCTTTGTGAAAGCCTGAGAGAACCGTCTGTAGGAGGGCCCCGGGAGCACCCTCGGGCCGGATCCCTGTCACTGTCTTCTCCCTTAGTGCAGGACTGAAGCCTCACACGTACTTCCCACAAGGGACTGGATCTATGGCTGTCACTAACCTCCAGGTGACAACCCACAGCAATCCATTGTTCCTGGTCATGGCGACTCTGCAAAGTGCCTCTAGGTGATCAGACAGCAGCTGTAAATATTGCCTCAGAGACCTACGGCTTTTTTATACAAGCCCAAAGGGCCCCAGAACAGTGGGAACTATGATTTCTAGGTCCCCTGAATTGTCAGCGCTCACTCTCTGTGCCGAGCTTCCTCTTGATAGTTCAAACTACTCTCCTGTCATAGCCTCAGACTGTAAACCACTATCGCACACCCATGTAAACAGTAGAAAACCCAGAACTTCTTCCTGACATGCTTCTGACACCTTGTGTAAAGAAATCCAGTTTCCCAAGTAAATCAAAAAAATCTACAGTAATGCCTATAAATATTAGATTTGCATCTCTGCTCTCATCCCGAAGTGGTGCAAACAGTCGGTAGTTCAAATCCAACCCGTGGTGCCTTAGAAGGAAGAATTGGGGACATGCTCCCATAAAATTAAGATTGAAAACCCTATGGAGCAGGTCATTCTGGAACGCATGGGGCTACGGTGAGTGGAATCAACTCGAGGACCTATTAGTGGGTTCTAATAGGTCTTCTTACCCTTATTGGATGTGTGTCCTTAGGAAAGTCATTTAACACTTGAGCCTGCGTTGCCTTGTTTGTGAGATGAGCATGATATTAGTAACCTGCACACAGAGCTTCTGTGTGAATTCAATAATAGAATATAAACCACCTGTGTAAGCACTCAATACTGCCGATACTGAGAGCAATACAAAGTGCTATTTGAAAGCCGATGTTTGAGAGCCGCACCATCAGTGTGGGACACAGACTGGGGAGAGCTCCGCTAAACAGACAGGAAGGAAAGGGGCAGTGTGGCCTGCCTGCCACCATTAGTGAGGCTCCTCATTCAGTTTACGATGAGGAAGAGTCACGATCAGGGTAGCAGAGAGGCGGACCCCACATTTTGTGCTCTCCACCATGCCCGGCATGCTCACTGGCCAGCATCTCACAGGTGAGGGCAGCACTTGGGCAGATGAGCATTCGGGGGGGAGGACATAGGGGTCTTTCCAGGCAGAGCAACAGCCTGGACAGAAGATGCTCAGGTGGGAGTGTTCAGGGCAGGAACAAGGAGTGTGTCCATAAGGAGACGTGGTTTTGGAACCACCACTCAGCCAGCCCACCTTCCATAGAAAGAGAGAGGGGGGCTTTAGGAGTCAGTCCAACAGACCTGAGGAGCCGCAGTCACAGCAGACCTCGTTCCCGGGGAGCCGCTGGATGTCCTCGATGATGGCTTTCGTCAGATCTTCCAGGCTGTTCTCCCCGGTGCTCTGCTCCCCACGGAAGGCCATGGTGAGCGCCTCCTCTTTGCTATTTGTCAACACCGATATCCATCTGTTGTCAGAAACGCAAGTGGCAAGCGGCCTTATTAGTGCAACACTGTTTTCTCTGTTCACCGTCAAACCTCTACTCTCATTAGCAACTGAGAAAAGAGGACCCCACCCTCAGGAACAACAACAAACTGAGCAAACCATGAAATGAACCCTGAAGCAAAGAACCAGAGCTCAAGAGAGGGAAACAGCACATGGCGAGAAGAAACAGACGACCACTGCTGTACCTGAAGATTTGCACAAATTAGGGATTTGAACTGGTTCATTCCAGTTCAACCTCCTGCAAAGAATATGCATTTTCAAGCCTGACAGGCTGACCCCAAACCTTCATTTTAACAAGATGCTGAATGTAGGTAGATTCTGATTCAGCCTATCTGGGGTTGAACCAGAACAGCATGTGGGGTCGACCAGACACGCACAGTGTGGTGTGACATGCCCATTTGGATGGAATGAGGGATGTAGGAAATGATAGAAGGCAGAGGGTCAGAACTGCAGCCCCCCCACCCCAAGGATGAGTAAGAACGGGGGAGCAGCGGGAAAGAGACAGTTTGCAAAAGGCATCAGATCTGTTCTCCAGAGCTCCATGTCAGTGGGGAAATATAAAAGTGAAAAATGAAGGGATATTTCACTAGGAGTCATAAAAATGCACACTTATGAAAAATGCATATTAATGTGGAAACATGATGATGTTTATAATATGACACAAAGTAGCAGGCGATTGTATTCCATATATTTTGTAACCAAAATATGGACCAAACAAAACCTTGCCACCCTCTGCATCCAAACCCTAAACCCAGTACCACTAATGTGGTTCCAATTCATCGTGACCTTACAGGAACGTTTTTCAGGCTGTGAAACTCCTCAAGCAGTAGTCTGCCACATCATTCTTTCCTGTGGGGCAGCTGCTGGGTCCAAACCACTGACTTTTTTGGGGGGTTATTAGCAGCTGAGTGCTTCAAGCACTGTGCCATCAGGATTCCTAACTTACACATTTGTTGTTTTTGTGAAGTGCTGTTGAGTCAGTTCCGACACATAGCAACCTTATATAGGGTTTCTGGTAGCGGCTGGTGAGCTTGAACCACCAACCTTGCGATTCAAAGTGACCTTGCAGTCCAGTGCATTAACCCACAGTGCTACACCAGGACTCCACCTATGCATAAGGAGACCTGAATAGCCAACAACCGAAGGCTGGCTGATGAAGCCTGAGACGGCCACTATGTGGACAAGGTCAGTGTCAGTGAAATTGAGATGTCATAATACTTTTAAGATGTTGAGGTGCTCACAGTGTACGTTTTGTACAATAAACAAAAAAAATTGTTATATGATATTAACAAATTTAAATCTATGTCTATATTATGTGGCATCTTAGTGTGGTGCTGTAGGGTTAGTGCAGAACTAAAAGGTCGCTTTGAATTATGAGGTCAGTGGTTCAAACTCACCGGTCACTCCTTAGACACCTTCCTTACACAGGGTTCGTTATGAGTCGGAATCAACTCAAAATACTTAACAAGCACAACATATATTATGTATTTTAGGAGTGCTTGAGGTGTTGCAGGATAAACACTGGACTGCTATCTACAAGGTCAGCAGTTCAATCCCACCAGCCACTCCTTGGTGAAATGAGGCTTTCTGCTCCCATGAAGATTTGCAGCTTTGGAAACACTATACAGGGCACTACGACTAGGAAATGACTTGATGACGGAATTGACTTGATGGCAGTGTTTGGTTTTCTGTTGAACTTTATTCTGTTTGGGGCGGGAGAAAGATGGCTAGAAGGAAATTTAACAATGTTAAAAGTACTAGGAATTTTTGTAGGAAAAACTGACGGATGGGTTGCTTGGTTCTGCCTTTCTGTAATTTTCCAAGTCTATAATGAGCTTGTTTCACTTTTATGAATGGGAAATGAAAGAGAAAGAAAATAAACAGGTATTTTCAAGCCACCCTTTGTGCCCACTGAATTGCACATATCCTAGACAGCTAGTATCAACTGTCAAGAGAGAGCAGAGACGCTCTGAACAGTCTTCATACGTAGGGTGCTTTGTAGGATGAAATGGATGCAAAATCAAGCGCTGTCTACGAAAGGTTTTGAACACGAAACAGCAAGAGCAATGGAAACCAAAAAGCAAACCCAACTCCGTGGACTGTCAGTCACACCTGTGGTTCCAGGGGGCGCTCCCCTCTAATTCATAGTGAGAATGGATCTGCATAACTTTTTATTTGGTGATGGAATATTTCAAAACCAACAGTCTAGAAATGGGGATATTCAATCACTTTCAAGGCAAATGGTATTTTTCTATCATTTAACCTTAAGTTGGAAACTGCTTAAACAAAACAATTCAAGAAACCTCAGAGGGTCAGCAGAACCTGTCACTGGGCATTTGGATTGGTGACCTAGCTGTTGCCGGGCAGTCCACTTGGACCAGTCTCTGCTTTCTTCAGGCATCTGACTCGCTAATACTGAAATCAACGTGAGGGCACATTCCACCACCAACTCGGACAACTATCTTTTATGTAGCACGTATGTGCAATTTCTCATCTCTAATTACAACACTAAGAGTCCTGGTGTGGCACTGTAGGACTCCAAGTTGTCTGAAGTGCAAGGTTGGTGGTTCAAAGTCACCAACCGCTCCTTGGAAATCCTACATAGGGTCGCGATGAGCCGGAAATGACTCTACGGCACTTATCAACGACAACAATTACAACACTTGCTGAGATATAATTCTCCAACAAGCTTCTAAACTGGCGTCTGCAATACTTTAGAAATGAGGAAACGGAAGTTCAGTTAGGTTAAATGACTTGCCCAAGGTCCTACCCCTGGACTGTCACAGTGAGGTGCAAAACACTTGTGCTGAGGCCCTTTTTGGGGTTCCTTCCATTATACCACAAGAACCCGCCACCAAGAAATGACCTTTGCTAAGTCTCTCATGATAATCAAGAAGCAGAATTTAAAGGGGGAAGTCATTCTCACGTGTCAGACTGGCATAACTGCATTTCAAAACACAGGTAATACCCATACCCGGCTTCCTCAGTCCAGGCAGGTACGGAAGGTGGCCCAGGATGGGGTCAGGGAGAATGTTACAAGAGGCAGGGGACGGTTGTGCAAGGTAGCCCACCTGGGTAGTTGAGTTCCAGGCTTCAGATCCTGGGGTGTATGACACCAAATCTACGTCTTCCCACTACCCCTAAAACAGAGCTGGGCTCACCCTAGTCAAAGGTATTTGTCAATATTCTTTACTGAGAGGCCAAGTTCTGCTGCTCCTCACAGTAACTGTAGAGTCAATCTGACTCATGGTGACCCTTGCATGTCAGCGTGCAACTGCAGCCCAAAGTCTTCCATGGTCAAGTTTTCAAAGTAGATCGCTGGGCTTTTCTTTGAAGGTGCCTCTGGGTGGATTTGAACCTCCCACCTTTTGTTTAGCGGTTGAACAGTAATGACCACTTGGCTCAGCAGGGACTCCACTCTCACCACTATCACTGAGTACTCAGATGGACCGGCTCATGTATCTGACCACCAGACATTAGGCACGGCCCTCCCATTCAGTGATGACTCCAAAGCTGAAGAAAGCAGGGATCTTGCCTTCTAGAAACCCTTGGTCTCTAGGCAGGGACTCGAGAATCAGAGAGAGGAACGTGAAGAGGCAGCATGAGCACAGAGGAGGGCACAAACCCTACTTTTGGGTGCGAGGCCTGAGCGGAATCGTGACCGAAGCTCACAGGCAGAGGAGACAGAGTGAGGAGAGCCAGTTCGACTGTGCTTCTGTCAGCGTCAGAAGTATGATGCCCTAGAGAGATGTGTTTTCCTAGTTCCGGGCATTAGGCCATGAGTTCAAAACTACTTACGCCACGTAATCCTGCTCATCTTCTGCCTGAAAGTGGTAGGTCCTATTATCTAAAATATAAAGAAGAAACACACGTGAAACTTTATAAGCTAAGCCCCTTCTGGTATAAGGCATATTTTTTTAGGTTCCCAGAAAAACAAGCTCACACACACACACACACACACACACACACAGAGTAAAAGGAATTTAGCAGTCTTTTGGTTTGCACCATTTCACTGCAGCAGCTAAACAACATCCTCTGCCAGTATTTTTTTGAAGCATACACTATGGAATGCAATAAAACAACTGCACATACCACATAAACATCTGACACTTTATTTGGGACAAGAGAAGCAAAGAGACAACTTAAGTGGCAAGTCCTACCTGAGCAAAATGGACTTCAGGGACAAACTTTGTGCTACCTACACCTAGTGGTATGCTAGCTGTCATTTTCAATTAGCCTCTTACTGCGTTGCCTTAAAACCAGACAAGTCTTCCTTTTAGAAACAATTCCCGTTCATTGCTTTTGTGAGGATTTGTATACCTGGCACGTACTACATGCTCAATAACCAGGGCTTCCCACTGGGTTAGCCCGGCTCAGTTACAGCCAATGTGTGAGTGATGTCAGAATGACTTTGAATTTTTAAAATGGGGGTGAACTGGATCAGGAAAGATTACTGGTAGAAAGTCCATCTCTCTTAGAAAGCAATGGCAGCGTGTGCAGACCAATCAAGTCTCTTGGAGGCTGAGCTGACGACAGCGGTGCTAGCCCCGAGATGGCCTCCAACTCTGCTGCTGTGAACGTGTCACCGTCCACAGTCCTGATTACAACCCAGGGACACGCGTCCACCTGTAATTTATCACCCAAATCTTAATAAGCTGGGCCTGTTTCAATCTCACTTTGTGGGCCGTGACTGAACCGGTTTAAGCTTTGTCAGTAAGTGACAACTGTCCTTTGGAACCTGTAGATTCAAGAATTGAAGGGCTCTTGTCTTTCTGAAGTCGCATTATAATTCCAACTGTTCCTACTGCTTTCTCATCAGGGATGCCCTTGGTCATAGAACCCAGTGGAATCTGAATTAAGATCTATGCTGAGAATATATCTCAGGAGTCTGGTGACAGATTCCATCACTCAGGTCGGGTCTCTGACTGGGCTTCCATTCCCCAAATTTGCACCAGGATTCAGGGGGTGGGAGAGAATGTTTGTACACACAGAGCTTGCACTTCAGTTGCTGTGCTGCCCTGAGATAGAAGTGAGCAAGCTGGCGGGTAATGCTGCAGGGAGTCATTCTGTTGGCATGGCTACTCACTCCCTGGTACGGTGCTGTAGGGTAAGCACTGAGCTGCTAACCACAAATCTATCCTCAGAAACCTTCACAGGGTCGCTATGAGTCAGAACCGACTCGACAGCACTAACAACAGGGTGGGTCAATCAATGCACCCATGGGAGCCAGCCCTGAGGAGGAAACCACCCCTCCATCCCACGTGTGGGGAGAATACAGGTTACAGGCCGGCCATCACTATGCTCTCTCCTCACAACGGAAAGCAATCCGGAGCCTGGAGACAGCCAGTGACAGAACACAGTGTCATCGGTTCGTGATGTCTGAAGGCAGATCTGCCTGGAGATGGGGACATGATTTTCCTTGTGAGAGCTTGATGTTGCAGGGCTGTAACTGTGCCAAATGAGGTGTGCAGACAGAGTGGCACACCTGTATTCCCAGGTTGAGGTTTGTACTTTTTAACTACAGGTGCGCATTAGAAACATCTGGGGTATCAAACAGACCAAAACAAAAACAAATCCAAGTCTAAGCCTCACACCAAAGACGGTGAGCAGGCAGATCTCGGAGAGAAGTGGGAATGACCTTAGAGAATGCTCTCCAAAGGGCCATGATGCCATGGTCAAGTTCAGTGTACACACCCTATGTGATCGCTGGTCAAGTTTGACTCTGCTAGGCTCCCCACCCAGATGGGCTCAGGGTTGATGAGGAAACCTGAGGGGTGACGTGAAGTGTTCAAGAAGCCACACTGAGGAGCCTGCTTGGAAAGGCTGTGGTTCCAACACCCAGAGAATGGAAATAGGCAACGCTTTGCCGTTAAAAGGACTCACGTGATATCAGGTCAAAAGACTTCTTGTCTTCAGCATTGGGTTTCACCTGGCAGGTGAGAAGGTTCAGCTTAGCTGGCTGCCTGTTAGACTAGAAAAAAACAGAGAGCGCCATTACAAATAGCACTTCCCTCTGATCTGGCCTACAATGTCACAGGCCTGCCTCACAGTTACTGCTCACAGATAAGGCAATACGCGAGGAAGGAGAGACATCAGGTTTGTTCCAACTTTACTATGAGCACACCAGATCTGTAAGCTTCTGTCTTCAAACAGGAGGGAGCTTCAAACAGTTCAGGGATACATACAGTCTATGATTTCTGAATTCCATTTTTCCGTGAACTTTGTACCATCTGGTAAACTTGGCTAAGTTTGATGTACCCCACAGGAATTCTGAGTGTCATTAAAGAAGGGGGATAACATAGGTGCTCTACACAATGCCTTTTATTTTAATGTCCTAAATGTCTGTAACTGTGCTGATGAGTCAGAACAGAACAAGGAATGATCCACCTGGCTTTCAGTGGCAAGTGGGCATAGCCCATGGAAACACATCCTTCTGGAACCTATGAATACCTGAGCACAAATGGATGGCATTTTCCAAACTGCATCTCACTGCAAAATTCAGTTGGATCCTTCACAATGATCTGACTCATTAATTATCACAGACCCAGAGTCCTAGGTATCAACTTTGGTTGCAATGTGAAATTTAGATTACTTCTCTCAAAAGTACAAAGACAATTACCACTTTGGTGAGGCACTGCTTAATGAGCCCAATATTTGGAGGGAGGATAAACAGAATAAGGATTTTCTATCATTATCAGCAAACCAGGAGACCCTGCTGTATCCTGACGGTCACTCTAACTTAGGTGCTTCCATACAATTGTTCTCTTTTTGGCTCTCCTGTCTGCACCTGCCTGCGGTCACTATGCTGGCCAGGCTAATGCCACAACAGCTGCTTCCTGCAAGAGCTGGCAATGGAGGGGGACTATGGGAGCGTGCGCTGGGCACCAAGAGCCTGCTGCAATGGGCCTGGGGCCGCCTCTACTAAGTCAGGATTCTGAGAATCACTTTGGCAGGAGCAGTCCTGCCAGAGGAACTTAAGTTTTTAGGAAAAATCGAGGGGCAGGGTAGAGAGGGTCCTACCTGTCAACCAAACAAATCCCAACAACAGAGAAGCCATGCCATCAAGACCATTTTAATGATATGCTGCACCTTCACTGTCAAGAGCAGGTGATTTCCACTGACTTCCTGGGCTCGCAGGGCAGTTTTTGAGATCTCCTCCCACCACAATTTCAATGAGATGGGTCACAAAACACAATGGTCTTACACTATTCCAAAGAGAAGTGGCTGGGTAAGGGAGGCTGGGGCCCCACAGGCTTCTGTGTGCATTGCACACGAGTTAGAGAGCGACCCAGAAGTCAGATTCTTGCACACAGAGTTCTGCTGAAGAGGCACAGTGCTTAAGAACGAATCTGTGCCACAGAGAACTGATGACCAAATCCACAATGGGGCAGCTGGAATTTGGGTTTCTAAAGGCACCAGATGTTACAACACGCAGCTGCATTCACATGTAAAAGGCACCTCAGGCCTTCATCTTTCCGGATGCTGCTAAAACTGCCTTATTTTCCATCTGACTGCCACAACATCTGATGGCCAGAGAGAAGTAGCAATCCTAGCTGATGGGGAAAGTCTCCTTAGAAAATGGTGTTCCAATTTGGAGTCCATATTTACAGAAGAATGTAGGAAAGCTTCGAGCCATCAAATGATGATTAAAGGGGTGGGCAATGGGACTCTGAAGATGAGGTAAAGACATTATTTAGTCCAGAGGAAAGGCAGCTGGGGAGTGATTTAGAAAACAGGGTCAAGTCCATGAAAGGCTGTGAGAAGGCAAGGCCAGGCGGCTGCTTTCTATTTGCACCAACGAAGAAGAAACACCCTCATACTGCAATGGTAGCTGGGGCATATCTAGGAAGAGCTTCTCAAGCTTAAGTTGACTATACTCTAGGAGAAGTTTCAAGTTTCTTAAAACTTAGAGAAAACTATGTCTTGAAAGACTTAAGAATTTCTTAGATACCACACAGACTTGACTGTGGCAGAGGGGTAAATAGATTTCTTACTTTCCCTAACTCTACAGTTCTCTATTTCTCCTGACCCCTACTACTGACAAATGCACCCAAGCAAGGAATATATCATCTTAAAAATGAAACAAAAACCACTCCAGCTCAGCTGTAACTGAATTCAGAAAAGTTCAACGGCAGTATTAATTTCTCATTTCAAAGCACTGTTTGCGAGTGTCTGGAAGCTTCTGACAGGCTTTTAGAACAGGCTAAGTCTTTTTGTGACTAATTCACAACTCCAATGATGATGACACAGAATATTTATCCCCTGAGAAGGTTGTCATGTCTATGGGACTTGTATGCCACATCAATTCTGGGCTTCATTTGGCACAGGTATACCTTCTTACAATAGTGTTCTTCTCCCAAAATGAGCTGACAGTGAGCCGCTGACCAAGCACCCACCATCCCAAATCTGACTTTGAGGAGCAAAGTGCACACACATTTTGACTGTCTAAGCAGTGAATACAGTCAGTTCTGAGTGGAGTCTAGGAACACCAGTAATGGTGTGTCCAACCTGAGACCAAGGACCAGGGCAGAAGGCAGGACCCATTGTAGTAGTAACAGTAATTCCACCGGTTTGTATAACTTTCCCACAATTCAAAGCGTGCCTTTTCAACAGAAAAGTTAGTATGAATTCGGAAGTATACTAATTAAAGGTACAATCTGTCCTGGGGTTTCAACTGAAATCAAAGTAAAACTAAATGACGTGTCCTGGGCCACATCAGCGCGGAACGGTGTAAGAAATCCTTTTATTTGTGTAAGTACAGAAAAGAGAAAAAAAGACAGTTGGCGGGGGGCAGAAGACCTAGGAATCGTCTATTTATTGAATCCTTCATTTGATCCCCATCACTCTCAGAATAAAACCCTCGGTACTGTGGTCTCCCAGTACCCCTGCATTTTCCTCTGCCTTCACTCCCAGCCATTCTGGTGGTGCTCCCTCTGCTGATGGGGTGACGGGTGGGAGGGGAAACATTACTGACCTCATATCTGCCTGCACACTCATCCCCAATCTCTACACAGGTCGGTACCTGCTCCAAAAGGCTGTTTCCTGTCTTGACGACCCTCCCAGGGACTTGCATCCCTTTCTACTCTCTGTACCATCTTCTTCACACTTACTACTATTACTTTGATTTTTTTCTTTCTTCCCACTCAGGACACATGCTCTTCTGTTTTCTCATGAGAATGTGCCTGGTACAGCAGCCGCTCAGTATTTCTCCAGTGCACCAATGCCTCCCAGGAGCCCTGCACACCCCACCTCATGCGCGACCCCCAAGGGAAGTTGTCTCAGTTTCCTATAAGACATAGAGATGGAGGTACATTCCTAAGGCTTCCCAGTGGGGATGTGCCAGAACCTGGAACTGAACCCAGGTTTGTGTGGACTGAGCCCCGACTTCTGTCCGTCTGCTCCCACCCGGCAGGCCTGTCCTCCGTACACAGAACATCATCCGAAAGTGGAAACCAGCAAAGCTCCAAAGGTTCATTTGTATTCCCCTCTCTTCTTAGGCTGCAGCTTGTTTGATGCTCCCTCAACTACTTGCTTTCAAAACGAATGACAAGAGAAATTTCAGAAGCCAGCTGAAATAGCTTCTCGTTTATTCATTCACTGACAGAACTAAAAGGCTGCCACCACGTTCCAGGCACATGTGGGCTGTGCCACCCAGTGAGTACCTGTGGGCAGAAAGCCAACTGAGTACTAGAAAGTGCCCGGTGCAGGGGCGCTGGGGCCTGAGTTTGAGTATGTGCACGGAGGACCCAGACACAACTCCTCAGAGGTAGCCTCAACCCTCCGGTGATGTCTTGGGGAGCAGAACCAGATGGATAGGCAGAGTGGGGAGGAGTAGGCCTAAAGGTCTGGGGACTCAGGGGACAGGTAGTGGGAGATGATGTAGACCAGAGAGGCAGAGAGCCGTCACGATCTAGTCCAGGGTGCACCTGCAATGTGCTGAAGGAGGTTAATGTAAAGGGAAGAGTCCGGGGGAGAGACGAAGAGAGCCTGGCAGAGGCCATGAGAAAGGACCCCCAAGATGTGAGTGGCCCAGCCGCATCTGAGCAGACATGGTGTGGTGCCCAGCCGTGTCTGAGTAGACGCTGTGGGGGGAGGAAGTACACAGATCCCTGAAGACTGTGGGTGCAGCAGCATCTCTTTGAAAATGGTTAAGACCTTTTCCACCAAACCAGCTAGGATACTTGGCAAACTGACCATTTTAAGGCTCCATGCTTTTCAACACACACTTGCAAGATTTTACTTTTCAGTAAAAACAATGGTTCTTTTCATTAAGTTAATGCATACTCACTGAAGAAAAACTAGTGTTCAACACATGTGCAAAGAACCCCAACAGTATATGTGGATTTGCCCTTTCCTATCCCAAGAAGCCTGGTGTGGCATTGTAGGATAAGCACTGCACCACAAAGTCAGTTTGAACCACAAGGTTCGCCTTTCAAATTCACCAGCCATTCCTAGGAAACGCTACCCAGGGTTGCTATAAGTCGAAATTGACTTGATGGCACACTTAACAACCCCAAGGAAATCTCTGTGGATTTTTAACAAGGTCTGTGTGATACCTGTTTTTCAAAAAACATGGGGGTTCCAGGTGTATAAATTGCTTTCTTTCCATTAACGTACACAAATGCAATAGGTTTACTTACACATACACACACAGTAAAAATCCTGTCACTGAGATTACTCCAAATCATAACGCTCCTTATTTAGAACAGAGAAGAATTGCTGCTTAGTTTCCAAGATTGTGACAGCCTCATCTTTCTCCCAAGAAGCATCTGTTGAGTTTGAACCACTGACCTTGAAGTTAGCAGCCCAATACTTAGCCCACAGAGCCTCAAGGCTCCTTATATAGACCAAAGGCCAATCTGTTTAAGTTTCTGATTTCTGATAACACGTCTGCTAGGGAGGCTTGAGGCATGCTGGGTAAACAGGAGTGATGAAGTTTGCTGCCTCTCTGACATGCTCTGCCGTTTGGCT